TAATGATAATGACTGATGATGATGATGGGATGATGATGGTGATGGTGATAATGTTAATGACTGATGATGATCATGGGATGATGATGGTGATGATGGTGATTACTGATGGTGATGATGGGATGACTATAATGATGACGATAATAATGTGATGATGAAGACGACGATGATTATGTGGTGATGATGATGATAGAACTCGTAAGATATATAAATGCGATTACATTAATAATGCAATTATATATATGTATATATTGAACTAATTAAATATTTTACGGAAATTAACACGAGTAAAATCTTCAGGCTAGTTTTGAATATTTCAATGTTTCTTCAGTTCACATTACTCGTGAAACAAAGTTTTTATTATTCCAGCAGTGTTAATTTATACCTCTTTTTTGCAGTGATTTGCTTTGTGGTGCAACACGAAAAGCAACGCTAAACTCCTGTCCAAGTACGAGTAAGATGAGGAACAAAGCGTGTCTACTGGCTTTGCTTGCCTTCATTCTTTCCTGTGATCACAGTCAACGAGAGAAACGTAAGATGCATTAGAAATTTAAGTAATTAGTATCTTTAATTGTCTAGATCATTTAGTGATAAAGGTCTTCCAAATGGAAAAACCTACATAAGCTTACATAACACTCAGTTAATGTAATGTTTTCAGAAAATCTATTGTATTCGATTGTCGTTCTATCTATAGTATTAGGTGTGCTCATTGCATTTTTGTGAACACATTACATCAACTGCTTGCTACGTAGTCTCTCCCTCTTCTGTATACTAAGAATTCAGTTTAAAAGGCGGGAAAAGTGTAGCTTTACTCCTCTTCCTCCCTGACTTCTTCACCTCTTTTCTCTCTCTCTCCTAAGCTTCTCTGTCTCTATCGCGTTCTTTCTCAGTGAAGCATAAAAAAGGTATAAAAATCGAGTGACTAAAAAGACGCTAATAAATATTCAACACTACAAAACAAAACAAAACATTTTTGAAACCCCCACAAAATACCTTACAGGTAGTTAAAGAAGATAACTATAGCTTTTCCGATCGTTAATGCACTAAGCTATTTTATCTTTGGTATTTCGAGTTCAAACAAAACGAAAAGATTTGTATTCTCGTGCATTAAAAGATCATAGTAACCACTTCAATCCTTGCATGAATACTCACTTGATAGAAAAATTCTTCTACTTCTGACTAGAAGCTTTGGGAAATCGATTTCTTCTGCTCTAACTTCGGCTTTGGCTATTAGCCCGCTCTAGTTCTGTGTACGTTGTAAGGTTATAAGGTTATAATGGCGCCCACGACTGAATGGCGTGCATCGATACGGCTACGTAACGTGCTCATATGTCTATATATATCCATAGGTATGGACTGCTTGTGGGCGGGGTCTGACGTCATGAGTTGTCACTGACGCGCTAGGCTTATAAACTCTTTCGTATTAATTCTTGAAAATTTTCCTAGGACTTATGTAGTACAAAACTTCCACGGGCTGAAAGAGCAGCCAAAACTATATATCTCAATCAAAGGTCTTGTTAAAAGAAGTTTTAGATACAGAGATACGAGCGTTTGATTATACACATAATTTAGTTGAAATGTATGGATCTACCATCTTGTTGACCTATTGAGGGAAACAAACCTGGCGGCCAGGAATTTCCCTATTTCTACTGCTTTGAAAATGCGTGACAGAATTTGACTCGCAAYAAATAAAAAAACCAAACATCGATCATCCAAAAAATGTTTGATAAAGCTTTTCTTAGAGTGCAAACAATACAACCGTGAAACTTTAGTAATACTAAATAGCACAATTTCATGCAAATTCCATTGTTTTCTATTGT